GTTCGTACTTTGCTTCACTTAAATGAGAGATGTCACATGGTATTTAAACTGATGTTTCGAGTTCATTTCACTCAACATTACATGTTCCAGGTTCCTCTGTTTTCTTCCAAATATCTTAAATTTGTCATTAGTTTTCTATTATTTATAGATACCACATTTTTTATTCATTTGTCTCGATGGCTATACAAGCAGCTTCCTGGTTTTAGTTGTTACATATTATTGTTCTATAAACATTGGTAAGCATGTATAGTTGTAGTATGATTTCTTAAATTCTCTGGGAAGATACCTAGCAGGCATCTAGTTGGAACATATGGAATTTCTAATTTCAGTGTTTTTGAGAAATCTTCATACTTATTTCCATACTTTCCATACTGATTTCCAGTTTACTCCTTTAATTTCCCACCAACAATGAATGATGGTTCATTTTTTGCCACAGCCATGCCATTATTTGTCATTTTTTGATTTTTTTAGGATGGCCATTCTTTCTGGAGTAAGATGGAATCTTAGAATCACTTTAATTTTCATTTCTTTAATGGCCTGCGATGTTGAACATTTTTCATATATTTGTTGACAATTTGTATTCCTTCCTCTCTGAAGCATCTCTTCATGTCTCTTGCCCATGTCTGGATTAGGTCTTCAATTATAGGTGGTTTAATTTTTTGAGTTCTTAGTATATTCTAGATATTAGCACACTATCTGTGTATATAGACATCTTAATTCCTTGTTTCCATCATTTTTTTCTTCTCCCTCCAATTATTGATCCCCTTTCTAGTTTAGAAAGATCTATCTCCCTACTTCTTATCTACCTTCTATTTAGCTCTTTGTTTATAAATTGAATTTCTCATATAAGAGAAAACATGTGATATTTAAGCTTATTTTTCTGATTTATTTCACTTAACATTATGGAGTCAAGGTATACATTTTCGTACAAATGACTTGTTTATCCTGTATGGCAGAGTACATAATACTCCATGTTGTGTAAATATGTAGTTTTCTTTAGGTATTCATCTGCGGATGGACTTACAGGTGACTTCAAAGATTTAGCTAGTCTGAATTGTGCTGCTATAAACATGAATATGCATGTATCACTGTAATGTTTTTAACTCTTAGGAAAATACATAGAAGGTGATTATCTGAGTCAAATAGAATTTCTATTTTTAGTTTTTTGAGAAATTGCTATACTGAATTTTATAGTGGTAGGACTAATTTTCATTCCAACCAACAATGTAGAAGGGACCTGTTTTTTCCCACAGACTCATCAGCATTTGATTATTTGATTTCTTGATGATGGTTATTCTTTATGGGTTAAGATGGATTCTCAGTATTATTTTAATTTTTGTTTCTGTAGTAGCCAGCAATGTTGAAGATTTCTTCATGTATGTATTGGCCATTTGTACTTCTGTGTACTGTCTATTCATTTCACCAGCTTTTTTTTTTTTTTTTTTTTTTTTTTTTTTTTTT